TCTCTCTCTCTCTCTCTCTCTCTCTCTCTCTCTCTCTCTCTCTCTCTCTCTCTCTTCTGGTGTGGGCAGTCCGTCGCCCCGTACCTTTCAAACCATACAGAGCCGTCACCCCGCTTGGCCCGGGCATGCAAGCCAGGCTCGCCCGTGTGCCACAGTCCTTCGCGGCCACGCGTCAACCCCGCATACCCAGGACCAGCTCGTCGGGTCGCCCGACTCTCTACTCACCGTCTTTCTACTCGTTAGCCGATCCTCTTGACCGCGCTAACTCCCAAGTAGATTAGAGAGGCAATTAATCGAGCTTGCATAATTTATAGCTTGTGCATCCGTGCGCAATAACCGGGATTGCCAGAGAGGAATAGGAAAAAGGAAGGAGGCAGTGCCTACGGCTGCATGGCTGGGCCGCGGCGTGGGGGACGTAGCCTCACTCCACGCTTTGATCCAGTCATGCACCGATCCGGTCAATGAGATAAAGAAGAGAGAGCGCACACAGCAACGGGAAAGAATATCAAGAAAGGCAAGATTACAATTACATCTGCGGCGGGAACAGAGCGCAGACCCAGGCGCAACAAAGCGTGTGCAAGCAGGAAGCGATGTGCAGTTACAGGCAAAAATTACAAGGCACCCAATTTCCTAGTCTAATTAAGGTCCTAATTACAAAAAGGAATTTTGAGAATCCGCGCGGGCTCATCCCCAATTCAAAAATTCTGAAGGAATTCCCTGCGCGATTGCCGCGCCAAAAAGACAGACTTCTGTTGAAAAAGAAAGAAAAGAAAGAAAAAGGACATAGCAGACATTGTTCCCCGCTGCTCACGAAGGCGCGAGCCAACCCCCCAAAGTTCCTAATCACCGCCTCCCTTCTGTCAAGGGACCAAGAAGAAAACCAAGAACGAGGGACTGGCATGCAATTTATCCCCGACCCCCTCCATGTACCCCCAATTCCAGTTGCGCAGAAGATGGTGCTTATCAGAAAAGAGCTCGTCACATATATGACGCCCAGGGGGTTCCATCCTGTGCAAGCTCCCGCTTGCACCCATATCTATCCAAAGCCAGGAAGAAGAAAGAAAAAGAACTCGTCATTTCGCAGAGATCACACGTGTCATTACCGTAGGATAAGAGTGTGGAAGTTATCCTGCTGACACGTTGTGATTCTCGTACCCGCTTTTAATGTCCCGAGGGAGGAGAGTGAGAAAGTCTGAATAAAGAGGCGGGGGGKGGAGGATGTTCGCTTGGAAGTGAGGGCAAGAAGTTCGCCATCCCTGCTACCGTCCCGGGAAGCTCAAGGTACCTGATGGTGCGATGTATGTGGGGGAAGCGATGACTGCTATGGGGGAGAGAAGCAAGGTAATAGGGATAGAGAGTTGAAAAGGTGCGAAACAAGGCCGCGCGGAATTGCTCGTGATCCGCGCATACGAGAATAGTTCCCGTGATCATGCAGTAGACTTTGATCACGTTGTAACCTTGCCACGCGGTGCTGAAAAGGAGGACGTGAAGGCAAAAGGATGGGGAAACACACTGGGTAGTGGGATGAGTGTACACTACGACGACAAGGCGAGTAGCGTAGAATTGGTAGAAGAGAGAGGATGGGAAGGGATTTTAGGGGAATGAGAGAGGGGTATCGATCTGCCGGAGTGTGAGGTAACCAAGGGGACGGTGAGATAATAACCGGTGACATAGCCCGATGCACCGCAGTGGCACGTGCTCGAACTGAGGGACGGGGGGAAGGGGAGGGGGAGCGGCTCCGTTGCCTCCGTGTTGGCGCGCTCGAAGTCTTTGCAGCACGGTACTCATCTTCTTCCGCTGGCGGCTCCGGATCTCGAGTCGGGTCATCCGGAATTGGCAGATCAATTCCCATCGACTGCTCCAATGGCCTCTTTCCCTCCTCTATTTCTGCCCTCCGCCGCTCCGCTTCCTCAAGGTGTTCTCTCTGCGTCTCCCTGTCCCACCTCTTCCCCCTCACTTGCTCCCTCCGCTTCTTCTTCTTCTTCTTCTTCTTCTTCTTCTTCTTCTTCGCTTATCGCCCCCGACTCGTGCTCACTATGCTCGCTATAATATTCATCCTCATCTTCAGATTCGTTCTCCGCCTCCTCGTCTTCTTCCTCTTCGTCTTCCGACGTCGGCTCGCCCCGATAAAAAAAGAGAATATCGATTATCTCCGCGGGGTTCAGGTAATTACCGTGCGACGGGTAATTACAGTTGTCCCAATTGCCCTCCAAGCATGCCGACCACTGTAGGTACGCCGTCAAGCTGCGCGAAAGAATATGTGGCGCCGGACTCTCGTCGCAGTGCGAGATGATGTCGATCGGTAGATCGTCCAGCAGCTGCGTTAGGAGGATTAGAAGCTCTCCTACGACCGGCTGCCGATGTCCCGCCTCCACCGTTCCGAAGACGAATCCCAACAAATCTCCCTCTACCTTCGCCCTCCAAGCTTGAATGATGAGCAATTCCACGTCTTCGCTCACGATGTTATGCTCGCTGTCCCGGGTCCACTTTAATTCGATCTATACTAAGCACAGAGAAAGAGTCGCATAGGTTAGCCACCACCCCTGCCACTGTACGGGCTTGATGAGAGGAACTGTCAATGGCCGCATGCAGAAAGAGAGACGGGGATGGAGCGCCGACTGCCAGAAGACAGGGAAGACAGAGGGGAGGCTGAAGGTAGAGAACCTGTGATGGTTCATTGAGGACGCGAGAAAGCGACGAGTGCAGGGAGAGGTACTGCAGGATTTTGTCGGAGAGCACGGATGCCGTCTAGGTCAATACTATTAGTATTGACGACGTTTTCCCCCCGCCACGCAAGAAGCTCACTCCGGGATTTTGCCAACTCCTCTCCCCAATCTCGCAACGAGACGAGGATGCTCGGATGCACCCTCGGATCCACGGTAGTGATGTCTCCGCTGAAGGAGACAATTGTCAAAATGTGGCTGGTTCCTGGCGCCAAGAGCGGCAGATAGGCTGATGCTTCGGCCAGCACTTGCGCCTTGCTGTTGGGTATCACGAATCGGAACTCTGCTGCCGCATGCCCGCTCGCCGTGCTGAAAAACTGAGCAAATCTGATGACGTCCGGGCTGATACGCAGATGATGAACCTGTCTGATCATCGAGATGTGCCCGCGTGGCGCTAGCATCCGCTCACTGAGTACCTGCTCCGTAGAAAAACTCATGGCGAAGATGAGGGAGAAGATGAGTGGGGAGAAGAAAGAGAATGTGGATCGTCACTTTCCCACTCGGGCTCAGGAACCAGTTGGAGAGGGAGGGGAGGAAGCAGGGAGATGGTGAAGATAGGACACGTGGCGGACTATGGGTCTAGCAGATCGGCTACCTGACACTTCGGGAGTGAGGCGCACAATGTTCACACCGTTAGGCCCGAGCTCGATCACCCGAAAGCACCCGAAGAATCGTGGCGCTAGTTTCCCTTGACGAGCACATTTCCTCACCTGCACCAAGTCCTCCAATTTATATTGGGGCCGGGGACCTGCATTCCCGTTTCGGGCCTCATAACTACGGACCTGGCGGCCGTGGGCCAATTCGGTCATTCTCTGCCTTTTCGGGCCATTCTCGGAAGGGCGCGTTCCATAAGTTCCAAATGGCGTTTGACCTTTTCCTTGGCTGTCGCTCTCGTGGGACGTCGACCGAGTGTCGATTCATCATTTAGGTTCGAGACGCAAGCTAGGCTGTTGGTTTGTAGTTGGAATGGCGAAAGTCCCGTAGACTCATCCGGGGTCCCTCGATGTATGGCCAGGATATGATCCACGATATCAGGCCACTGCCACGTGTCCCTAGCTGCGATATTTCGTCGGAGTGCCGTTTTAATTACTCGGTTGGCGTTTTCTACGAGGCCGTTCGACTGAGACATATGGGGGTTGGTATTACGAATAGAGACCCCATGCATGACCAGATTCCTCATGACTTCACCCAGTCATACCTAACCGTCCTCCGTTCCACCTATAATCCCGTGCTCCTTCATTGGCCCGTCTCCGATCCTCCTTAGAGAAATCTCGGAGAAAATTCCTGACAACCGTAGCTATTAAGGCGACATTTGTCCACACCTCTCCTCGTCTAAACAACCGAATCTTCTCTAGACCTTCCGACGTTGCTTCCAGGAATCGAGCCTCCGTCGTGATCTTATTATTACGACACAAAGGGCATAGCCACGACTTCTGGGGATTTCTATGTTGGATGCATGCCCCGTGGACTCTCGCTACACACGCAGCACAGTCTACCCATTCCACATATCCTTCGCCTTGTGGATTCATAGACCCTGAATAGACTCGAGAGATGGACTCATAGAGAAAACAAAAATGGTCGGGTAGGGAAGGCAGGGAGGAATGTGACGCCCAACCTCACGCCCAGCGCGACTTCCTGATCGGAGTGGGGTATGTGCCTGGAAGTGCGAAAAGGGGTGTGCCAAGGATTTTTGGGAAAGTGGGGGAGTCTTGAGGGTATGAATGCAATTAGGCGAATAGGGGGTGCGTGT